TGTGTCCCCCCCAAGTACAGTTCATGTCTCTGTACCTTAGTACAGGCATTTCCTTCCACTAGGAATGTCCTTCCCCCTGCTCTCTGCCTAAGAATACCTATTCACACTTCAGTACATCAGTCAAACGTGGAGTTGGTGGTTACCGTGTCTTTCCAGACTCTGTAGTGTACTACTCTTGTAGTACAGAGTACAGGGGCAAGGACTATAGATTTATCTCTGGGTCCCATGCCAAGCATAGGGCCTGGCACAGAGTAGGCATGAGTAAAAGCAGAAGGGAAGGGACGTACGTTCTTCCTTCTGAGAGGCCACCTCCCTCCCTTTACCCCTACTCCATTGCTATCTACCTATCCCCAACAGTTTCCTCCCAGATCTGGTCTCTACTATCCAAAAATAATATTCATAGTTATAATAATCATTACTACCATTTATTGAGTGCTCACCATGTAACTCATTTTTGTTTAAAGAAGTCACTCCAGAGAATATTTATTTATACAGAATCTCACTATATCACCCTCAGTAGAGTGCCACAGTGTCACAGCTCACAGCAACCTCCAACTCTTGGGCTTAAGCGATGCTCTTGCCTCAGCCTCCCAAATAGCCGGGACTACAGGCACCTGCCGCAACACCCAGCTATTTTTTTGTTACAGTTGTCATTGGTGTTTTAGCTGGCCTAGGCAGAGTTTGAACCCACCAGCCTCGGTGTATGTGGCCAGCACCCTACCTACTGAACTACTAGCACCGCCCTAACTCATTATTTAATCCTCATGAAAACCCTAAGGATTCAGGTAGGTTCGTTAATTATCCTCATTTTATAGGTAAGAAAACTGAGGCTCCACGAGGTTAAATCTCTTGCCTAAGGACATACAACTCATAAGCAATACATACAGGATCCAAAGCCAGCTCTGTCTCATCCTCAGGCACTATGCTATCCCTATCCAGCCTTCTCCTGCTTTCTATTATCTTCCCTCTTTGAAACTCTTAGAGTAGGGGATGCAGTAGGTGTGGGGGTGTTGGATGAATTTATTCACCCCCCACAAATACCCCACTAGCTCCCACCAACCCTGTGCTCAGCATTAGAGATGGACAGAGAGAACTCAGATGTAACAGAGAGAACTCCTCCTTGGAGGAGATAAGAGCATTTCACACTAAGAATGTGGGCTTTAGGTTGGGTGCCCATAGCTCAGTGGTTAGGGCACAGGCCACATGCATCGGGGCTGATGGGTTCAAAACTGGCCTGGGCCTACTAAAACAAACAAACAATAGCCAGGCATTGTAGCAGGCACCTATAGTCCCAGCTACTAGGGAGGCTGAAGCAAGAGAATCCCTTGAGCCCAAGAGTTTGAGGTTACTATGAGCTATGACACCATAGCACTCTACCAAGCACAAAAAAGTAAGACACTGTCTCAAGAAAAAAAAAAAAGAATTTGGGCTTTGGAGTCAGCAGACTTGGATCTGGACCCCACTCCTAACTAATCACGGGTGCTGGTAACCCACTTGATTTATCCAGTTCAAGGGCAGTTCTTTCATCCTCAAAGTGGGGATGATAATGCCTACCTCAGAGACTCACTGGGAATACATGCAATAACATGTCTGAAGTAGCATATACACTAGTCTGAGAAAGAGCATGACCCCATCTCCACAAAAAATAAGAAAATGAGTCTGGTGTGGTGGCATGCACCTGTAGTCTCAGCTACTCAGGTAGCTGAGGCAGGAGGATCACTCCAGCCTAGGAATCTGAGGTTACAATGAACTATGATGATGCCACTGCACTCTAGCCCCGAAGACAGAGCAAGACCCTGTCTTAGTCAATCAATCAATCAATCAGTAACAGTAGCATATAATAATCAGCCCCACATATAAGAAACAACTGCTAAATGGCACTAATACACATGATGACTAGAGCCTCTCGGGATCTGTAGGCCACAGTAAGGTCTAATTTTCCAGGGCCATCCCTGGAACCTCCCCCACCAGAGCTAAACAGTAATACTGATAATAAAGCCTAATCTGCCCGTTTTCTAATTAAACGGTTCTTCAAGGGAAGTGTCCTTTATTAATTCTCTTTCACAGATGAGGCAACTGAGACAGAGAAGGTTTGTACTGAACCAAGTCACATGGCTAAGGGGAGACTGAGCCGCCACCTCCACTCAGCAGTTTCACACTGGGCAGAGCCCAGCCCTCATCCCAGAGCCCTGGCCCACCTGCAGGAAGTTCAGGGGCTCCTGATTTCCAGATTCTAGTTCAAGCTGGGTGGGAAGTTAAAAGTGGGAGGAAGGATCCCAAAAGAGGGATACTTAGTCCCCTCTCAGGATAAGCCCAGGGTGGGGAAGAAACCAACAATTACCGAATGGGCCCCTGTGCTGGGCACTTCTCATTGGCTCCCTTTCATATCCATGTGGGGAAAGGGTTGTGACATATTATGCTACAGATGAGATCTCTAAGACTCAGAGAAGTTCATGACCTATCCAGGGTCACATAGCCAGGAAAGTGGCAGTACGGAGGGCAGAGTCTCTCCTCTCCCTGCCTTCAGCCCCACACCCTCCCAGCCAGCTTCTTTTCTGATGAAAATAGAGGCCCTGCCACTCCCTTCCCAGGAAGCCCAGTTGCCTAGGCCTCTCTCTGCTGATTGATGCCTGCTTGATACTTGGCCCGTCACTCAGTTCAGAGGACCCAGAGCTCATTTTAACAGAGCCCTGGCCCCCAAGGAATTCATAGTCTAGTGAACTCATGTTCAGTGAACCCCTACTATGCTGGATGCTTCATATCCATTAGCCATTTAATACAACACAAAGCACATTGAGAGGTGCACAGTAGATGCTCAATAAATGCCGTCATTTGGAAATATTCATTGAGCACCTTCTAGGTGCTGCTATATCCTAAATGCTGAAGATACAGTAGTGAATAGATGAACAAAAATCCCTGCCCTCAGGAGCTTCCATGAATAAAAGAACAAATAGTCTTGTGTCTCACGGGTATTAATATTCTCATTTTACCAATGTGAAACTGAGACGCAAAGAGCCACTCAACTGCAAATGGCAGAATAAGGATTCTATTCCAGCCCACTCTGCCCCAAAGACTTTTGCATTGTATCATGTAACCAAAAAATTGTGCTAGGTTCCTAACTTCAAACCAGTGCCCTCTCTCAGCACTTCCACGACCAGTTCTGGGCCTCCCTTTATGCCTCCCAGGGGCCTCAGAGACGCAGGACATAAAATAGAATCAGCTCATGTGGCAGTCATTAAGTCAAACCAGTACTCACCCAAGAACAGCCGTTGGGGTCAGGTAGCAGGTCAGGAAGAGGCCATGGAGCCATCGCCGCGGAAGCACATGAAAGCAAAGGATAGCAGTGAGACACAGAGCACAACCAACAAACAAGCTCCTTAGGGCCCCCTCTTCAGCCAGGGCCTGGGTCAGCAGGGACTCCTACCCCTCCTTTGCCTCTGGGACAAGCACCCTCCTAGTCAGTTACAATCTGATAATCCACCCTGAGCTCATCAGGACTCTCAGTGCCCCTCCTCCAATAGAGGCAGCAGGGTCCCTATGGGACAAACATTAACTAAGCAGCTATTGCGTGCCAGGGGTTGGGGATACAAATTGAAAAAGACAGATGTGTTCCCTGACCTAATGGAGCCTACAGTGCAGTGAAGAGGCAATTGTGTAAATAAATAATTACTGAATTACAACTGTGATGAGTGCTTCAAGGAGACTTAAGAACTTGGGCAGATCCAGACGCTACCATTTACAGCTCTACCGTTTATGACATTGGGACCATTTTTAAACTTCTTTATGTCTCATTTATCTCTCTGTAAAATGGGGACAGTATTAGTATCCAACCCACAGGGTTGGCATGAGGATTACATGAATTAATATAGGTAAAACATGTAGAACAATGCTTGGCACACAGGGAACTGTGTTAGCTACTATTATTACAGGGGGCTCTAGGCATGAGTTCTAGGGACCTTGCATGGGTGAGGCCACCACCTACTTGCCAGAGTTGCTGTAGGGATTAATGGAACAATGAGATGAAGTTGAACACAATGCCTGGTACATGGTAACTATTCAGTAGATGGTGGAGTTATTCCTAGGGCTGTTCTCCAGCACAGCCCCATGGCCAAGCATCTCAACAAGGGGCAGTCAGAAGTGCCCCCCCATCCCAAACACACACTCGGCTTTGGACTGAGAGATAATCAGCAGCAGCCACATTCTCACCTGATCCTATAGAAGGGCATGGAGTTGCCTTTAACCATCACAGTAATCCAGGAAGTAGATAAAGGAGAAATTATCACTAGTCCCATTTTACAGATGAAGACAGTGAGATAAAGAGACTCCTCTATATGTGTCCTTGGATGTGGCACTTCATGTCTCCAAGCCTAGTTAAGTGGCCAAACCAGAATTCTAGCTCCCATCTGCCTGGATTTTGTTCTCCAGGTTTTCCCTTGCTTTCTTCCTTAGGCCTCTGGGTCTGGGCAGCACTACTGTGCAGCCCCAGACAAGCCTTTGAACCTCTCCAACCTCAGTCCTTTCATCTAAAATAGTTGTTGTCCAACAGCTAGCCTAGGAGCCGAACTGTTCCTGACCCAGGCTCTTCCACCACAGACTCAATTGCTACCACCCCAACCCCTTCAATAACCCTTTACCTTATCACTCACCTTAGCCCCTGACCCATGGATCAAGGAATGTCTGTGTTCATTTAAACCCACGTTTTCCAGATGGGGAACTCTGGCCAATACCCAAAGTTGCCTTGCAGTGCCCAGCTCTTGCACCTGGGCAATAGTTGGGTGGGGCTGGCCTTCTAGGGAAACCCTTGGTGTTCCCTGACCTGCAATTTGCTCCCTCTATCCCTTTCCCCTTATGCTGGGCCCAGGGAACACCCAGCATGGGTGGCACGGCTATTCCTCAGTTAACTGGACCTGAACATACCAGAGCTCAGAGAGCAAGGATCAGGCAGTTCCACAGGTTAAGGGCTGAAGAATGTGGGTACCTGGCTCGGTGCTTATAGCTCAGTGGTTAGGATGCCGGCCACATACACCAGGGCTGGCAGGTTCGAACCTGGCCCAAGCCAGATAAACAACAATGACAACTACAACAAAAAAAATAGTCAGGCATTGTGGTGGGCGCCTGTAGTCCCAGCTACTTGGGAAACTGAGGTAAGAGAATCACTTAAGTCCAAGAGTACGGGGTTGCTGTGAGCTGTGACACCACGGCACTCTACCAGGGGTGACATAGTGAGACTCTGTCTCAAAAAGAAAAGAACAAAACAAAACAATGTGGGTATCTCAGTACCCATAGGGTGAAGGCCCCCCTCCCTTAGTCAAGTCTGGGCTTTGAATTTGGACCTAAGTTGAAATCCCAGCTCAGCTACTTCCTAGCTGTGTGATTTTGGTCAAGTCTATTCATCTCCCTAAATACCTATGAAACTGGGATAATACTTCCCTCATGAGATTAGAAGGATTAAATGAGTTAGTACTGCATATTAAAGGCTTAGAACAGAATGCTGTGTACAGTAAATGCTTAAGAGAGGCTCTAATTATGATTATAGAATAGAGGCCAAGAACAGAACTTGTGGCCCTATCACACTCAACCTTGATCTTGCCCCATGGGGTGAGGATAGGGATAGACAAAGTCTCAAAGCAGGTACTGAGGCTATAGCCATGGGTGCTGGAAGACCTGTAGAGATTCTAGGGTAGAGGTTCTTAATCTGTGGGTCACGACCCACAGGAACTGTATTAAAGTGCTGTGGCACTAGGAAGGTTGAGAACCACTGCTCTAGGGTCATCTCCCCTACCCGGTTCACAGAAAGTTACATTGAGACCTAGGGAGAAAAGTGACTGGCCCAGATTATAATTGGAGTAGAATCCTTCCCCTTCAAAAAACATTAGAGTCTTAGGCCCTGGGGAAGTTATGAAGCCCCTCCCCAGACCCACTGTGCAACCCTCAAACAAATCTTGGGCCACCACAACCTCTATGGTGAGCCCTTTGTGAATATCCCATTTAGTTTTGTGATTGGAAACATATATATATGGCACACAGTAGGTACGCAAGGCTTAGGGAATAACCCAGTGAAGTTCATCTCTGGTTCTACACCTCTGCTCAGACTTCCTCTCCAGGGGTCTCTGCTTGCATCTCTCCTCTTCTCTCTGACCCCAGCCTCTGTGTCACCCAGCAGCCCAGGTCCAATCAGCTGAGCCTGGCTCTAGCCAGCAGAGCTCTGGGCCTCCGTGGGGCCTGCATAGCGTCAGCATCTTCCCAGCCAGACTGGGATGTTCCTGCCCAGGACAGCCAGCCAGGCTCCTGGCCAGGGTCCACTCTGCAGACAGGGTACTGGCCTAGCCCTGCCAGGGTTCCACCCCTACTGGTCTTGGGAGTGGAGCAGCCTAAGAGCCCTGGGAGCTTCTTTTGGCTCCTGGGGCCTATAAGAGGGAGGCCAGCCTGGACTAGGTAGTACAGGAGTGGGCCAATCAGGAGACAGCCATGTGTGGGCTTTTTTGCCTCAATGAGTGTCACCCACACACCCAGACACTCCACCCATGTGCCATGTTGCTGGGACCTGGCAGACCCTGTCTGACTTTCCAGTATGCACAGGGGAAACCTCAGGGCTTCCCCCACTCCATTCCTTTCTTAACCGCCCCCCCCCCCCCACTGGCCTGCTCTCAGACTAGTTCCTCTTGTCACAGCATACTTATTGCTTCACTTGATTCCACTAATATAAACTCTGGATTATTGACCAAGAGGAACCAGGGGCTTCCTTGCTATGTAGCAAGGAAGTGGCAGGGTCAGGATTCAAATCCCCTGCATGCAAAGCCTGCAGGGCACTGGATATCCCCTTCCCTGCTTCCTCTCTGCTCCCTACAGTCTGGCTCCCTTTCTCCTTAAATCTTCTACTTTCTTCTGCAAAGTCTCCCTTCCCCCACTTCCAGTCAGAATTAATAACTCCCACCTCACTCCTGCTATAACACCTTATTTACAGCTATTTCTGAGGTGTCTCTCTCTCTTGACACTCAGAAGGGCCTTCAAGACAGGGAGTGACTCCAGTAAGTGCTCCTAGACCTGACAGTCTGTCACTTCTATCTTCACCTCCCCCTCTTCCACATGTAAAAGTCTCTTTGGCCTCCTCCTGCTGATCCCCTCCGCACCCCTGCCTCCTGCCAAGACCATCCTCTAGGCCTATAACTGGGATGGAGGTCGGGGGCTTACTGTGCCAGTGCTCTGGCCCCTCCTCCTCCCTTCAATAGCTGCAGACCTGACCCTGAGGTGACACCAGGCAGCTCTCACAGGGACTTCCAGTTGCCCGAAGCCCAGCCCCAACCAGTGTCTCTCTAAGCCTCTTCCTTCTAGAGAAAAAGGCTCCAGGGGCGGAAAAGGGGTGGCTTTTTGCCCCAGTCCAGGAATTTGAGGGGTTACATTCAGCCACTCCTTCCCA